TTAATATACGAAGTAGTAGTATATGATCCGCGAGTATCCAAATAACCAAGTTGCAATTCATTTTGGGCCTTTAGTGACAGCCGGAGTACGAGAAACGAGTTAGAATAGTCAGTAAATTAGTCAAAGTCTACAAAAAATCAAAATCAAATCAAATTAAATGGAGTTATATATTTACAAGCGATTATGGATTATCAACCGATTATGAAGCTTGGCCAGATGGAGCTTGGCTCAATAGGAATTACTCCCTCCGTCCCTAAAAGAACTTCCAACTTTCCCTTTTCGTCCGTCCCAAAAAGAACATCACTTTCCCTTTTTGGCAAAGAATTTGTGGTTCACAACATTTCTCTCTCCTCTGCACAACTCTCCACCACACAATTCTCACTTTCTTAATCAGTGTGCCACTTTATTTTGGAAGAACATTTAGGGACAGAGGTAGTAGAAAATAAGAATTTAACATATGAAGTTAACTCTATTACCCTAGTAGCCAAATTAACCTAGTACGTATGAAGTTAATTAAAATTTTATGAAACCCATCTTAAGTCAAGTATTTCATTTTACATTTAGAGCCCTTTGGTAACATTGAAATTGTCTGAATCGGCTGATTCTGCTGAAATTTATGAAGTTCTAACTGAAGTGGTTGTATTGACTAATTCTGCTGATTCATGAAAAAATTATATTTAAAATATATTTCATTAATAAAACAAAGAAATATTATATGAAAATACCTAAAATAGTCATCTACAGTAACTTCAGCCAATACAGCCCGAAAAGTAACTCCAACTTTACTTTTTCTTATTATTACACAATTTAACTTGCGAAATCAAAAATTACATGTTTGGTTAAAAAGTTGGCTGATAAGTCTGATAAGCTGACACCAAACAGGCTTTTAGTAAAAAATGGTGTAATAATTTTCTAATTACTTCATATTTAATTATGTTATTAATTTGAATTACTATTTAATTGGTCTCATTAATCATTTTTGTCTGGGGCATCAAGATTCCCTGAGACGGCCCTGGTGCCCGTATATATAAATGTATACAACAGCACTGTTCTAAATTAAAATAAACATTGCACTTAATATTTACATTGATACGGGAAAGAAACCACAAAATATTGTGTATCAACACATTTAGGTAAAACCTAAAAGGTAAAGTATGAAATAAGGAAGTACAAATTGTGTTTGTGCACACTTAGGTTAAATCTAATACCCGTAGTAAGTACCAAATATAGAAATGACATGTTTGTAGAAGTGATTAATGGACTATTGTACATATACTACGTATAGTATTATTCTAAAAGGTTAACTAAAAAAATAGAGCCCCCCCCCCCCAATTCCGTGTTCAGTGGCAGACCCACTAAGGGTCCCGGTAAAATAACTATATGTCTATATATATATATATTATATTTTTTATATAAACTTTACTAATACATGTATATATACATAGAAAGATAGCATTATTTAAGATGAATGTTGTGGAAGGATGGTAGTGGAGTGGATTTGACTTCTCTTTTGACGGAAGAACGGGTTCGACTCCCTTTGACACCCATTTTTTGCTTTTCTAAAATTATTAGTGTAAAAGATCATAATAATTTTGAAAACTCCCTGTACACCCAATTTTTGCTTTTTTAAATTTATTAGTGTAAGAGATCGTTATTTTGAAGTTTACGCTTTGTATAATTCATTTTTTTTAATTAATTATTAAAATTTTTGTTAAGATTAAATTATTAAATGTATGATATTCATGAATAGTTTTTTCAATATTTTACGATTTAGAATATAAGGGCATGTTTACTAACAGAGATATTTTTCTGTTTTCTACTTCTGTTTTTTGTTCACCAGTTTTCTGTTTTTATTTTTCAGTTTTTCAAACTCCAATTTTCTGTTTCTATTTTTTAGTTTTTCATTTTCAAATCTGAAAACATGTTCATCAATTTTTTCACCCAGTTCTGTGATCATCCAGAAGACTGAGGACACGTTTACTTCACGGGTTACTAAATGTTGCTTATTAAGACATGCGATAATAAGTGGCGCATAAAATAAGCAATGTTGTAAGATCATGTTTATTTCAAAAGGTTTAAAACACCGTTTAACATTAAAATGTTCAAAATAACTCTATACATATATAGACACACAAATATTCATAAACACAAATATATAATATAATATGTGGGGTCAATCACCTCGTACGTGTACCCATACCCCTAACCTCTACCCCGCCCCTATACCTCGTACCCCCACCCTACACCCTATACCCAATTCCACACCCCTGACCCCTACCCTTACCACGATCTTACACTCTACCCATACTCCCCTACAACCCTTCATACCCACCCATACCTACTCGTAGGGGTCGGGGTGGGCCGGTGGGGTAAGGGGTATGGTCATGGGTGGGGTGGTAAGGTCTAGGGGCAGGGGGTTGGGTGGGGGTAGTGGATGGGTTAGGGTCTAGGGATGTCAAAAAAAACCGACCCGCAGTGACCCGCCCTGGCCCAAGACATTTGGGGCGGGTCCGCCCCGCCCCGCCTTCCAAAATGGGGCGGGTCCACCCCACCCCGCCTATACAATGGGGCGGGTCCGAGTATTAGTATTGACCCATGCGACCCGACCCGCTCAATACATAAGCATACATACTTTTTCTTAAATTATACTACATATATACTTCAACATACATATGTGTGTATACAGTAAATCATAAATTCTTTGATCTAATAATATATTAATACATATATTAGAATGAGATGAACGACAGATTATTAATGACTTCTTTATATATAGCATTTTAATACATATGTTCAATTATTAGTATAATTAAATAGATTAACTATTCAAGTATGAGTAATTTTTCCTTAATTTTTGAAATTTTTAGGGTATCATGAATTTGATTTAATATATTAATTTTTAATTATTATTTAGAGATAAACTTTATGTAGATTCAATTGGTAACAACTAACAACTTCCCACAAATAAAAATACATACTAGCTAATTAGGTTACAGCGGGGCGGACCCCCCCCCCCCCCCCCCCCCCCCCCCGCATGGGGCGGGTCATGGGTCAACAAGTTTGGACCCGTGCAGGTCATGGGGCGGGGCGGACCCGCCCCGCCAAGTCACGGGGCGGGTCCACCTTATGTGTAAGTATGCAAATTCATTGCAGTGGCATTCTAGCATCTGCGTTTTCCAAATTTAGAAAACTAGTAAAAGTCACTTCTTCAGATCATTGAGGAAAAGAGAGACATATCTCATTTTTTTCGTTTTGGAAAACGATTTGGTAAACGCGTTTTTCTGTTTTCCTTTCTCCAGTTTTCCAGCAATTTTCTTTGGTAAACTCGTTTCCTGTTTTCCAGTTTTCCAGAAAACAGGAAAACTGGAGCAATGAATCGGACTTTAATTCAAATGGTTCGTCATTATTAAATGAAGAATTAGATCAAATGATTGTTGAATTTGAAATTCATTTAACTAATTATCTACGAGACCAACATGCTGAAACCTAAAAAGGTACATTTACACAATTGTAGAATGAAATATATGTGTAATTTTTTGTGTTATGACCAATGTTCTAAAAGGCGCTATACACTAGTCGGGCGCCAGCCTAGTGTCTAGCGCCTAGGCGGGCGCCTAGTCGGGGACTAGTCGGAAACATAGAAATTGCATTTTTATCTATATTTTTGCATAAATATGATACATAATATAGTATTTTTGTGTGTATAAAATACATATATACATATTCATTAACAAACATGAATGATAGAATTATCACATTTAATCATATGTAGTATAGGATAACTAATCACTTAACTTCATTATGTTATAAATATAAATAATGATAAAATTTAGGTATATATACAGACTATATAGTTTTATCTTAATTTACAACTTCATTTCTTTATATCCATGGCTAAAGTTAAAGTACATATATCACTTAGAAGATTAAAATTAAATAGTGAAGTAATGCTCGACGAATCTAGACGGCCTAGGCGGCCGATTAGACGCTCTAGGCGGGCAACTAAGCGCCATAGGCAGCCGACTAATTCAACTAGACGGAAAACCAATTAGTCGGAGCGCCTAGACGAAAATCGGGGCGCCCGACCACCGCCTAGCGCCTAGGCGAGGACTAGTCGGGGCCTAGAACGATTTTTAGAACAGAGGTTATGACTAGTTAATATTTTGATAATGTATGTTAACTATGAAACGTTATGTTACTTTAGAGCCTGTTTGGTAATACTCAAATAAACTATATTGATTGATTCCACTAAAATTTATGAAATTCTGGTTGAAGTGACTGGATTGTCTGATTCTATTGATTTACGAAAAAATTATATTCAAAATATATTTCACTAATAAAATAAAGCAAAAATTTATATGAAAGATAGCTAAAATGATTTTATACAATAATTTCCGCCAATGCAACCAGGAAAGTAACTGTAACCTTATTTTTTCTTATTATTACACAATTCAGCGTGTGAAATCAAAAGTTACATGTTTAGTGAATAAGTTGACTGATAAGCCTGATAAGCTAAGCAAACGAGCTCTTAATATTTTACTTCTTTTTTTATTAATTAGAGTAGCATTATGGTAGGGACTCCATGACCCTGATTTTCTGGATCCGCCACTGCATACAAAGTATTTTTTTATACTTGGTATTACAATAAGCATTGACCAATTATATCCTCATTAACCGGGTTCACCTTCTGGGTCCAAGGTGACCCCTGACCCAATCACCGGGCCAAGTTGCTTCCCGGTCTGATTTATGAATGTTTACATATTCTTTCTCAAAAAAAAAAACTTGGTCTTCCAGTTGACAAGAAACGACCAGTCAACTAGAACTAATCGTATTTATTCAAAAAAAACTAGAACTAATCGTAACTATAATCATTACCAATTCCGATTTCAGGTCCAACAAAATCCCGCCAGACTAGTCAATCCAGGAACTGGATTGGACCTTGTCCACCTTTAGGTGTAACCAAATATAAGAGCTAAAGAATAAATATGTGAACCCAAAGGAACAAAATCAGTGGCTCGAGTGCACATTTAACCACACATTTATAATCAGGTACTTGTACTCTTATGGTTTGTCCGATAAAAGAAAGAGAAAAATTATGAATACATGATTAAGGAAAGGAACAAACAAGTCTTCTTTTGAGTATAAACATAGTTAAACTTATTTGTCAACTTTATGCAGATTAAGTAATAGATTCTAAACAAAAGGGGGTCGAGGCAAATCGCATAACATCAATCCGAGTCCGATTCACCATCCATACCGCAATAAGAGCATTGTAAGTCTGGGGGATGAATCATCTGCATATCAAGAGAGGCTGGACTTGAGCCTGTAAAAGCAAGCAAAACAAACCAGTCAATCATTATCTTATAGCACCTTCATCCTAATTTCTTGCGCAAGTAAAATTGAATGTAGACATTTAGTGTCAATTATTTGCATATAAGAAATCAACACTAAGTTGCTCAAAAAGCATAGGGACAAAGGGGCATAATGGTAGATTATAACAATTTCAGAGACAAATTTATTTAGATTATAACAACTCATAAACATAAGAACGGGAAGGAAGGAAATCAATGCTTGAGAAAAAGTATATTTTGCTAAGAAAGGCTGAGCAAGGGTACCATAAAAGTTACATTTTGATGAACATACCAAAGGAAGGGCTGGGGCTCACAATACAACAATATATGACTTCATCATCAGCTTCTAAAATGCCGACTGCTTGCAACTCAGCATAGAAGAGCTCCACAAGGGATTTGCTGGAAGAAGGGGTAGAAGTCTTGGCCTTTGCTAGGAAATTACAATGAAAGACATACATGCATTTTTCAAAATTTGAAGGAATGGCAGAACTAATCAGGGGAGCGACAAGCTCATACTCAGAACCCTGACACATATTGAAAAAATAGATTATTTAGTATAAAGAGGACAACTTTACGAGAGAATGGAAAACTCTGACTTGCACAAATCTAACAAAAATTAGATTATTTAGTAAAAAGGGATAACTTTACAAGGGAAGGGAAATAAAAAAGATGAAAAAAGAATGGAAGTACGGAACCTACGTAAAGAAACTGACCTTGTGCTTCTTATTATAATGCATTAATGCCTTTATAGCACATTCAACACACTGCTTGTAGAAGTGTGGGAATTCTGGAGGGGCTGGAGGAAGCAGGGGTAGGATTCTATCAATATGCAAATGGCCATTGTCAGTGAGGACTTCTAACCATTCACCTTCAACGGTTGAATGGGATGAAAATGATTCACTCCCGTTGTCACTTCTAAGACTGTTGTTGCTATGGTTGTTATGGTTACTGTCACTGCAACAAAACAAAATATATATTCACCCACAACAATCATGATGAGTTAATCCTTTATTTTCCAAGCTTAATCTCAGTATGTTGTAGGCTAGCCAAGGAATCATAAGGAATGAATATAAATAAGAAATAAGCAATGGTGAAATAGAAAAGGCAAAATAATATGCATACCTGGATAAACCTGAGCTGCTATTATAGGCAATGTTTATAAGACCTCCTAACGTCTGTGGCCTGCACAACCAGACATATATCCCTGTCATGATATTTCACGAAAAAGCGAAAATGGTTCACACTTAAAGCGCAAAAAGTTTCAGTTTCCCAATCAAATGAAAACACCTGGAAACAAAAAGGGAGCATGAGTTGTGAAGCGGACAAACAAGCAATCAGTCAATAACAACGGGAACCAAGTTACTATAAGCCAATTGAGCAAAATATCCCCGCTGAAAATTATATATGTTGCGATGATAAACTATTTATGGTAAACTAAAAACAAACAAAAAACTAATGGCGGCAATAAACCATATTTAAAAAAAATAAAAGCATGCATTATTTTTTGTTGTTGCAAGGAAAGCACGAGAAAGTGAAACTTGTGTGCTTTTGAACGCACGAAATCATTAATTGTTGAACGCACGAAACTTGTGTGCTTTTGAATTAGTGAAACCGCAATGGAATAGGCGAATATCAGAAGTTAGAACATATATGGTGCAGGGAAATCAGATAAGTAGTTAGGAGGTTTAGAGTTCATTAAGTATTAACAGCATACAAAACGAGAAAGAACAAAAAAAGAGATAGAGAGCGCACAATTTGGGCGGAAGACCGGCGATCGGCGCATTTAGAAGGATTTGGGCGAATAGTCGTTTGGCAGCATCCACATCAGAGGTCATCTTTATCAGCTCCTTTTCAATGTCAATCTCCCCCTCCGCCATTGTGAGCTTGTGACTGAGTAGAAAACGAAACAAGATGATATAGCAAATAGTTATTAACTGAATTGACACGTGTATAACTACTTTACTTGTATTCAGTTAGTAGCTGATAGATATAAAAGGAAGCTAGCTATTGTAATCAGAAGACTACTCCTCTGTTAATATCAATAATACTCCTCCGTTCTCAATGTTCATCTTGTTACCCAAGAAACCAGACCTGGACTTGGGTTAGAGAATTGTTGTTTCACATTAATTCTCAAATTCTTCTGATTTCTTATCAGTTTTTCAGTTCAATTCTTGTTAATACAGGTTTGCTGTATTAAATTGGTATCAGAGCTTTGAACCTCGGAACGCTCCGCCATGACTCAAACTCGATCGCAATCAACACACAGGGAGATGACATCTCAAGAGTTAGAGGAATCAATCAATTCCAAAATCATAATTCTTGAAGATCGCATGAGCAAGAAGATTGATGCTAAGATGGAGGATCAGTTCGTGCATATGAGCCTGAAGTTTGATGACTCATTAACCACGAAGTTTGCTGAATTTTCAAAAGAAATTTTTGAAATCATGGAGACGATGAATAATCGAAGTCCGAATTCAGTACAAGCAAACCGTACAGCCCATAATCAAGGATACTCAGGTTTGACAAGATTATCAAGGCTGGATTTTCCAAAGTTTGGAGGAACAGATGTTAAAGATTGGCTATTCAAATGTGAGCAATTTTTCACCATAGACCGCACTCCAGAAGACATCAAAGTCAACTTGGCTTCAGTTCACTTGGAAGATAAAGCTTCTTGTTGGCATCAATCCATGATATCTTCAGAGCAGAATAGAGGTATTATCCTTGATTGGCCTAGATATAAATTTTAATAACTGAAAGGTTTGGTGAGGTTGTTGATGATCCAATTGCTGATCTTATGAAATTAAGAGAAACCGAAGGAATTATTGCTTATAATGAGAAATTTGAGTCAATAAGAAACAGGGTGAAATTATCTGAAGAATATTTGGTGAGTGCTTACTTAGCTGGCTTGAGAAATGATACACAGATGCATATTAGGATGTTTCAGCCCCAATCTGTTCGACAATGTTTCACTTTGGGAAAATTGTATGAATTGGCTCATCCAAGAACAAATTCTGTCAGTATGAGTTCAAGCTTTAATAAAGGAAGTTTTAACAGAAATGAAGAATTGGGAAGAAGAACTTCATTCAGCAAATTATCTGAAGCTGGAGGAATACATAAAGGAGAAAAAATACAGAATTCGGGAGAATGGAAAAAGGGGGGTAGGAAAATTCTTACTGCAGCAGAAATGAGTGAAAGGAGGGCTAAAGGTCTATGTTATCAGTGTGATGAACCTTATACACCTGAACATTATCTGAAGCATAAGAAGAGTCAGTTGTATCTGGTGGAGATGGAGGAAGATGAAGAAGAGATTAGTACAGAAGAAGACAACATATTGACACAAGAAAATATACAAATTTCTGTCAATGCTATGGCAGGAGTATCACATTACAGCACCATGAGAGTAAAGGGAATGCATGGTAAAAGAGCACTCTTCATTCTAATAGATTCTGGCAGTACACACAATTTTATAGATAAAAAGATAGCTGAAAAGCTAGGCTGCAAATTAATAAATAATGGGTTGGCCAGAGTCACTGTAGCAGATGGCAATACCATAGATGTAACAGCTAAAGTGGAAGGATTTCAATGGACATTCCAACAAACTCAATTCACAACTGACCTTATGGTGATCTCATTGGGAAGCTGTGACATGGTATTGGGAATTCAATGGCTAGAGACTTTGGGAAAAATTTCTTGGGACTTTAAAGAGCTAACTATGGCATTTAAAGTGGCCAACAAGAAATTAGTGCTACAGGGAATTAAGCAAGGATCTGTGAGGGAAATCAAAGCCAAAGAAATGAATAAGGTTTTGAATCAAGAAGGGCAAATTGCTATGATCTGTGTAAGGGAATATACTGCAACAAACACAGATTGTTTTTTATCTGCCATGGAAGTTGATAGTGAAATTCCAGATGGTATCTCTCACTTACTGACTGAGTTTGAAGACATCTTTGAGGAACCCAAAGAATTACCACCATTCAGAGAAGGACATGATCATAAGATTCCCTTAATACAAGGTGTCAACCCTGTCAACCAAAGACCTTACAGATATGCTATGTGTCAGAAAAATGAAATTGACAAAATAGTGGAAGAAATGCTGAACTCAGGAGTTATTCAACCAAGTTCCAGTTCATATTCTTCTCCTGTAGTATTAGTTAAAAAGAAAGATGATTCTTGGAGATTATGTGTGGATTACAGGAAGCTGAATGCTAATACTATCAAAGACAGATTCCCTATACCTCTTATTGAAGACTTAATGGATGAACTGGGAGGAGCCAAAATATTTTCAAAGATAGATCTCAGATCCGTTTATCATCAAGTAAGAATGAGCAAAGAAGATGTACATAAGACAGCTTTCAAAACACACAATGGACATTATGAATTTGTTGTAATGCCTTTCGGCTTAACAAATGCACCTGGAACATTTCAATACTTAATGAATTCAGTATTCAGACCTTTTTTGAGGAAATTTGTACTGATCTTCTTTGATGACATCTTAGTTTACAGTGCTCCAGTAGAGGATCATGTAATTCATCTGAGATTAGTATTTGAAGCTATGAGAACTAACAAACTGTTTGCTAAGAGGAGTAAATGTGCTTTTGCTGTCAATAAAGTAGAGTATTTGGGGCATTACATTTCTGATAAAGGCATATCTACTGATCCAAAGAAGATTGAAGCTGTGACTAATTGGCCTGTTCCTAAAACACTGAAACAACTCAGGGGTTTTTTAGGATTATCAGGATATTACAGAAGACTTGTGAAGAATTATGGTGTGATTGCTAGACCATTATCTGTTCTCCTTAAGAAAGATAATTTTAAATGGTCTGAAGAAGCAACCCTGGCTTTTCAAAACCTGAAATCTGCATTATGTCAAGCACCTGTATTAGCACTACCTAATTTTGGAAAGCAATTTGTGGTAGAGACTGATGCTTGTGGGTATGGTATAGGTGCTGTTTTAATGCAAGAAAATCACCCATTAGCCTACATCAGCAAACATTTGAAGGGAAGACAGTTGCATTTTTCTATCTATGAAAAAGAACTTTTAGCTGTCGTTTTTGCTGTACAACAATGGAGGCATTATCTACTCTATGCTCATTTCATTATTAAGACTGATCAGAAGAGTCTTAAATACTTATTGGAGCAAAGACTGAATACCCCTATACAACAACAATGGCTTCCTAAATTGCTGGAATTTTCTTATGATATTCAGTATAAACAAGGTAAAGAAAATCTAGCAGCAGATGCACTATCTCGAATAGAAAGTGCAGAAATTCTGAGTATGGCCTTAACAGTGGTGGGATCAGATTTGTTACAATCCATTCAACAATGTTACCACACTGATCCTCAACTTCAACAAGTCATTGAAATACTGAAAACAAATCCTACAGGGAAGAAACACTACACTTGGTTACATAATCAACTGAGGAGGAAGGGAAAGTTGGTTATAGGTAATGAAGTAGAATTGAAGAATGAAATACTCAAATGGCTTCACTGTGCAGGTACAAGTGGTCATTCAGGAAGGGATGCCACAATTCAAAGGGTTAAAGCACTTTTTTATTGGAAAGGGATGGCTACTGATATTCAGCAATATATAAAAAGTTGTAATATTTGCCAGCAAAACAAATATGACAGATCAGCCTCACCAGGACTCTTACAGCCATTACCAGTTCCTGACAGTGTATGGAGTGAAATAACCATGGATTTCATTGAGGGGTTACCTCCTTCTTATGGAAAAGCTGTTATTTTTGTGGTAGTAGACCGATTGAGTAAGGCTGCCCACTTTATGTCTCTTTCACACCCTTATTCTGCTGCCACAGTAGCTCAATGCTTCTTAGACCATGTTTTCAAGCTGCATGGGTTCCCACAATCAATCACAAGTGATAGAGATGCTGTGTTCATGAGTGAATTCTGGAAAGAACTTTTCACATTACAAGGTGTTTCTTTGAATACTTCTACAGCTTATCATCCTCAAACGGATGGCCAATCTGAAGTTGTTAATAGGTGCTTAGAGACCTATTTAAGGTGTATGTGCAGTGATCAGCCTCATCAGTGGAGTAGATGGCTACCATTGGCAGAATGGTGGTACAATACCACCTATCACACCTCCACTCAACTTACTCCTTATGAAGTAGTATATGGGCAAGCTCCTCCAATGCATCTACCTTATTTACCAGGAGAAGCTAAGGTTGATATGGTTGCAAGAAGCCTCCAAGCTAGAGAAGATATGATTCAGATTCTGAAATTTCATTTGGTTAGAGCACAACAAAGAATGGAACATTATGCTAATCTGCATAGGAGTGAAAGAGCATTTGACATTGGAGATTTGGTTTATGTCAAATTGCAGCCTTATAGGCAACAAAGTACAGTATCTAGAATTCATCAAAAACTATCTCCCAGATACTTTGGACCTTATAAAGTGATTGATAAGTGTGGTGCAGTGGCTTACAAACTACAGCTTCCTGATTATTCTCGCATTCATCCAGTGTTTCATGTATCACAATTGAAGAAACATGTGGGTAATGCAGTGAGTTCCTCAGCTTTACCTTCTGTCATGCCTGATCTATTTGAGAAGAAGCCAATAGCTATTTTGGAAAGGAAACTGGTGAATAGACAGAACACAGCTGCTACCAAAGTCCTTGTGCAATGGAGTAATCAACCGGTGGAAGAAGCAACATGGGAGTTCTTATATGATTTGAAGAAGAAATTTCCTGATTTTGAACCTTGAGGACAAGGTTCTTCCACCAGGGGAGATTTGATATAGCAAATAGTTATTAACTGAATTGACACGTGTATAACTACTTTACTTGTATTCAGTTAGTAGCTGATAGATATAAAAGGAAGCTAGCTATTGTAATCAGAAGACTACTCCTCTGTTAATATCAATAATACTCCTC